AAAAAAAAAAAAAAAAACAAAACAGTGGTAAAAAATTCTTTTAATAGCTAGAAAAATTCTTTCTTTTTTTCTTTTATTTTAAGATAAAAAGAGATGAGAAAGTTGAAATGGTAAGAATTCAAAAGATACTTCAACAAAACGCTGCTAACTAAAATATGTTGTTACATTGAACGGTGTAATACTTAAGGACAGGAAAATGAATCAGAGTGTTTACTGTCTGATGTCTTAGTGATATTAAAGAAGAAGAAATTTTTCTACAAAGTACAGTTTCTGAGATCACAGTGAAGGTCATAAGAAGCAAAAACAAATAATCACCAACCTGTCTTTCAATAATTTTTTCTTTATATTTAAGCTTATCGCTAAGAACAGCGACAACAGCGTATTCCTCAACATTACCGCCTGAATTGTCCAATTTCTCCTTTAACGCTTTATAGTCTTCCATTAAAGTATTGTAATTACTTTCTGTTACTTTCAGTTGGTCAACCACTTTATTTAGTTGTTTTTTAACCTAAAAAAATATTCTTAGAGTCTTTGCCTCAAAAACATTTCATTTCTTCAGAAGTCATCTATAGAAAATTCAGTAAAAATTCAAGAACTAAAGGATTCTTTATTTTAAATGCTGGCTTACCTGTGCATAATCGCTGTCTTCTATCTGCTGTTGCTTCGATATATTTTCGTTAAGTTTTGCTTCTTTTAAATGCTCATTTGTCTGAAAAGAAAAAAGTTTTTGATCTCTTCGCTGTTCTAAGGATTGCGGTAACAAGAATTTTACTTCTTTTGCGATTTGAAGTTTCTTGCTGACAGCATGAAGTGTTTCTTCAGCCGCATTAATTTTTTTTTCCAATAAGGCCTCGTTACTTTTCAGCTGATCCCTTTCAGCTTTTAAAGTTTCTACAGCATTTTGAAGATTTTTCAAATCCTTCAAGTTTGCTTCACGCTCTTTGTTCAGAATACGGTTTGCATTTTCACATCTATCTAATTTTTTCTGTAAATCATTGACGTTTTCTTGCAGTAATTCGGTCTTTTTCTTCAAATTTGTTACCGCTTTCTGAAGCGTCTTCTTTTCAGACCAACGGGCGACTTCATCCTATAAAATTGAGTTTTTCAACGCTGTTAGTTTTTAAAACAATTCATTGCGCAAATGATGACAGAAACTAACCTCTGATGTTCTGGAACTAATCGTCTTACTTTTGTCTTCTAAACTGTCAATAGTTTCTTTCTGCTGTTTAATAGTTTTTGTCTGCTGTGATATTTTCCTTTTTAACTCCTCGAGTTGTTCGTTAAGCCTTAAAGTTAGTAATTAATAGCAAATTTTATTTGCACTAGATAAAGTTTTGCCTTAATTTTTTTAGTTTAATATGAAACGGAGAGAGTTGCTGTATCAAAGAAAAACCTTATAATTTCGAGGTTGGAAGATTCGTTATCATTTGGACTAAACTTTTTTTCTATTTTTGCCATTGCATCGTTTCTGAGTTCCTCACACAGATTCTCCATTTCCTATATAAATTATAACTTTTTGTCTTTCGGTTTTGCCAATTTATTGCATTTAACACACCAAACTACTGTTGGTCTTAAACTCTAAATTACTCTCTGCACAACAGGAGTTAAAAACGTGACTTTTTGCTTAATCAGAAAAACCCAAAGTACGAGAAGATTTGAAGAATGATATATTCTGTTTAGAATGACATATGGCATTTGCTGATGGTTATTCGTAAGAAAATGGGGTTTGATAAACCTTATTCTTGAAAGTGAGCTGTTTGATAAGCCGGGTGAAATGCCGATTTTGAGTCTTGAGGAGCGCAGTTTCTGCTTTGGCTCGTTCCAGCTCCAAAAATGCTTCTGGACTTTTACCGTTACTAATCCGACTTGTGGACCATTTGGCACTTTTCTCTTCTGAATGGGATGTTTCACTTTCTATCCGGAACGGTTCCTCTTCTGTATCTTGAGAAAGTGTTGTTGCTTCAATGTTTTCTCGAGCTGGAGGTCCTAGGTTGATTGGGTCAGTCTGCGAACCACGCTCGGCGACACGGTGAAGTCGTTCACGACTTAATGTCTGAAGCTCTTCTCTCAACTGTTCGTTCAATTTTTCCAGCTCATCAGCCTTGTTCTTAGCTTTCATCAGTTCGCACTTCATTTCTTGAGTTTCGTTGCTTTCTAAAATTTCATTCGATTTTCTGAATTTTTTTACCCCTTCGACTCTAACATTTTCCACTTTTTCATCCACTTCCTTGGTTGCCGTACTTTTTTCATAAGCCTCCAGAAGCGACTTGTATCGCTCAATAGCTTTTTCTTTATTGATCAATTGTGCCTGAAGTTGGATCGTACATATTTATCAAAATATTTCGAATCTAACTTCTATAAAATTCAGTGAGTTAAATTTAGCAAAACTTACGAGGATAGATTGAATAAGATTTATAAAAGTTTTGTTTGCTCATTAACCTTTCCGGAATTTACTGAAAATAAGGGTCCCACAACGATTACGCTGAGGCTTGGATGGGAATCTTTCATAGTGCAGCAACGTTGTTAAAACTAACCTTGTAGTTGTGAATACAGATTTCTGCTGTGTTTTTGATGCGTTGGATTTGCTTCTGGCATTCATCCCAGTTGTCGTAAACGACAGTTTTGAAGGACTCAGGCTGATGTAACTGCAACTTCTTGCTTATGTCTTCAGTCTTTTCAGCTTCTACAGCTGTTTCTGCTTCTTGTTCTTCAGCAACTTTTGTTGCACATTCTGGTAGATTATCTTGTTGCTGCATTTGAGTTATAAATTCGGTATCTGCTGTCAACATCGATAGCTTGGCAGTCAAGGATCCATTTTCTTCTTCGAGTTCTTCTATTCGCTGATTCTTCTTACCTAGCTGCAATGTCAGCTAGTAGTCTACATACTTGTTATTTTTTTTACCTGGTATTCCTATGAACATTTCTATATTGAAAAGACAGAAAACGGCTAAAGAAACTTCCATATGTGAATTAACCCAGAGAGACTTCTTTGTGGCAAGCTGAGAACAGCTTATAGTCACACGGTGCAACTTTATACTAATAGAAACAGAAGAATTAGATCCTATTTTGCATGATTAAAAGGGAATAAAATGGATGGATTTAAAAAAAAACAGACTGTTTCAAAAGTTTGCGAAATTCACACTATGATATTACTCTTCTAATGACCATGCAGGAGCATAGAAGTGTGCTAACTACGCAAAACTTTAATGTTCAATGTGTGAACATAAACAGGTTGGTCAAAAATAATGTAGTTAGAAGTATAAATATACAAGAAATGAGAATACATCTCAGGGAATTCACTCAGACTGAGCAAGAAATCTTCTTTACTGCGAGTTTCCAAGAATTTCTTTTTGTTTCTGTCTAGATTCGGCAGTTTCAGACTTTGATATTTAGGGTTGCTTGTCGTGTTGTGGGTTAATTAAAAAAATAAAGCTAGCCTGCTGGTTCCGTTGCACGAGCTAGTTCCCTAAGCAATGGAAACAAAGACTGTAGAATTAAAAAAAGCGAAGGTAGATAGTAGGTAACTGTAGGTTTCTTTGAACTAAACCTACATAGCGAAAGAAGCAAGACAGCGTAGACAACTTAACTGACGTTTCCGCGGACATAAAGTCATCTCAAATAAGTTACAACAGAGTGCTTTAAACCAGATAAAAGTCAGTTAAAGTGCCCAGAAATTATAAGTTTGCTTTTGCAAAGGTCTTAAACTGCTATTTTACACTGAAAAAAGCTACGATTTGAAGAAAATTTTTAACATAGTGCACTACATCAATTCACGTATACGTGGACGCTTCAAGACTTTATTTGGGCAATCTAGCCACTCAGGGATTGGTTAAAATTAATGTTATAAAGATTTTTTTTTGCTACCTCATGCTGAAGCCATGGCATGAATTTGTTAGTCTACAATCAAGAGAAAAGTGTTACTTATCTTAATGAACCAGAAGTTCTGAGGTTGTAAAACCGTACAATCAAAAGATTTTAATTAAATTTGGCTGTAAGGAAGCATTTGCTGTTGAATGAGAGAACGGTATTTAGCTTTGGCACAGTACTTAAAAATGCCCGTTTTTCTTCTGAAGCCTATTGCTCTAAAAATGACCGGCAAAATTTGCGTGTCAGATAAAATTACAGCGAATCTCCCGTACGGTAAAGATTTTGTTGTGATCGCTATTTGCGGAGTTGAACTAAATTTAGAAAATAAAACGCTGATCAGATACATCAGCAGAAGTTTTTTTGAAAGCTACGTGATACGCGACATTGAGGAAAAAGAGAGAATGCTATCGCAAAAAGCTAGAATTCGCAAAAGGTTTTGGTAAAGGTTGATTTAACTTATGAGCAAAAGGCTAGCGCAAATTCGTGAAGGCCGATATTTAACTGATTTTCTTCTACGCACTTGATTTTTTCTTGAGAAGTTTTTGTGGAGTTTTTATGGTGTATTTCCTGACTTACTGGTGTTGGTCGGCTGAGATTCTAATGGCATAAATTTAAGTAAACACCTTATCCAATTTTTGTTTTTCTTATGCTCAAAACTGTGCAACAACATTTTTGAAAACGTTTGTTGTTTGGGTGAAGAAGATGTGTGAAATAAGTGTGCGTTGTAAATATTGTTATCTTACCGTACATTTCAGTTTCTCCAAATCCCTTGCCGAAGTAGCGGCATTTAAAAGTGCTGCCTGAAGACTTTTCTGGATTTTTATCATTTCGTTGTTATTTTTGGTTATCTCCTCAAAACTTTGTCGCTCACATTTAACACTTATCAGTTCTGCACTCAATTCTTCTCTTTCTTGTTTTATCTGAAAAGATTCAGCTTAGAGTTATATCTTGTAAAAATGTCTGCAAAAATTAAATCAGTTACCTTGTTTAGCTCTTCTTCTTTGGTTTTTTCTTCCTCATTGATTCTCTGCATTTTATTTCTTATTTCAAACATCTCTTGTAACGTTATTCCCTCAAATCTATTTGATGCATCATTCTGCAATGGTTTTGCTACAGTTGACAAGATAAGAGGTAGTCATGAATTCATATCTGGTGATTTTTTATTAATTCAAGGCTTAACGAATTATGGAAAGTTATTTTGTTTATAATTTTTTTGTTGACCTTGGTTCTCTAAATAATTTTGAATTCCAGTGAAATGCAGAACCTGTATTTTGATTTTTAAATTTCGGATCACATTAATCAATGCTTTCCGTTCAATGTTCCACTGGCGTTTGCGTTTCGCGAACTCTGAATTGGTGATGAACAGCGCTGGATTGATGGGTTTCTGACCACAGTTCTTCTGCTCTTTAAGAGCATCTATAAACCGTCGCTCAATGGACACAACCAGCGATTTTAGTTGCGATTCTCCTTCAAGTTCTTCTAGCAGTTTTTTAATTTCTTCATTTTCACATCGAAGAGTTTCATGCTCTTTTTGCCAGAAATCATTTTGGTTGGTTAACAGTACCACCATATTCTGAAAAAAAGATTCCGCAGTTCTTATCATACTGGACATCAGCTGTTTACTGTTTTATTTTGAGTTTTCATTTTAAATTCAGCTTCCCAGTTTTGGTTTCTGTAAAAGAAAAATATCTTTTGTAAACAATTTCGCAGCTACTGCTGCTTTTAAGTTATTTTTAAAGAATTACCTGTAAATATTCAATCTTAGCTACTAGTTCTTCAGTTGGTTTTTCCTCTTCTCCATTTCGTATTAAAAGCTTTAAACCCAAAATATTTTCGTCATCTGGCTTCTCAGGCTAAAAAATTGCCTTTTAATTTTAACTTATTTGGGAGACAAATTGTTGTTGATCCTTGGTCAGCTTCGCAGTGAAATAAATCAAGGAGTTTGTTATATTGCAGCATCTTATAATCGTTTGATTGGATAGGTTATGCAGTTCTCTAAAAACATCTGGACTTGCCTTAGCAGAATGGCTGCCAGGTAACACAGCGTCTGCTAAGACTTTCTTGAGTTGTTGAACAGTCTTATCGTGTTCTTCTTGAGGGACCGAGTGAAGAATGACGCTTTGCAGTCTAGCCATTTCAATTGTCATCAGGTCATGAAAAAATTGAACATATTCAATCGCTCGTTATATACTACCTTATCAAGCAAGAGTTGACTGTTAACTGTTAATAAGACTCTACTCTCCATTGAGATTAACTGTAAAAGGGGGAAAAAAAATGCTAGAACTAAGTTCTAAGCACTTACAAATTCATAACGGCTAAGTATTTGCTGCTTGTTGAAGAAAGTGTGATCTTCGTCGTACTTTCTTTTCAATTTCTCGTAGTCACGCTTCTCACTATTTCTTAATCGTTCCGTTATTTGAATTTTGCGTTCCAGCTGGGAATGTATTATTTTTTCTGCGATCAAATTTCGGTGTACTGCCTCATAACACCGCTCTATCTCGGTACCATTTTCTCTTATATTTTGCATAAAAGCCTGCGAAAAATATACTTTTCAAGTGAACTGTAGCTTTGTTAATTCGATGTCTATTAGACAGCAACTGCTAGTTGGAGACTTTGATGATACGACTATAATTGCGAATATGAACCTCGTAGTATTCTCTTGGAATTCAAGAATAAAAAATCTTCCGCCTATGCAGTTTTTTACTTCCTTCTTTTGTCACGGTTTTTTCTGAATAGTTTTTAAAAAACTTTTTTCGCGACTTGAAAAAGTGTTCTATTTTTTTAACTACTAAGGGCAACACTGCTAAGTAAGAATTACTAAGCAAAGATTGGTCGCTCTAATTTAAGTTACATTAGTTTAAATCCACGACGACATCTAAAGCTCCTTTCTCCACTTATAACAGAAAGAAAAGTGACGAATTATAGAGCGAGGAGCGAATAAAAGGTTAAAGTAAGAGTAAAACAGTTCATTTTTAGCATGAGTTTTGAAGATGAATCAAACAGGAGTCAAAAAAGAACTGGCGCTAACTAACACCCGGGACATTTCGCTTGTTGGAGGCTAGATTTTGGGAAACAGTAGCTAAAAACCAGCGGAAAAGACTGTTTACAGAAACGTATGCATTAACTGACTGTAGCGCAACGTGTCTGCAGTTGCAATGGTGACCACAGACTTAATTTCTCATGGTCCTTCTGACTTTATTTTAGTTGATACTTCTCTATCCCCCCCTCCCTCCCCATTCTCATTTTTTTGCGAGTGTTACCTCCAAAAACTTATAGAGAAGTAGGGGTACGGGAAGGATCGGAAACGAAAAGTGAGAAAATTAAAAAAGCGTTAAGAATATCACTTCCAGTCTTTGCTCCTCCACTGCTACTTTATTCATTTCCGGAGGGTAGTGCAACAGAGGAAGGTGGAGAAATGTAAAATTGAAGAAAGACGACTTGTTCTTCTGTAAAAAAACTTCGTCTATCCGGAAGGGCCAACCCTATCATAAAACAAAAAAAAATTTTTCTTACCTTATATTCTGCAATAGCGGTTTCCATCTCGACAATTTTATCATTTTTCTCCATGTTATCATCTGTTTCTCTTTGCTCTAAACTTTGAACACTGCGTACAGCGTTTATTTTCTTTTTTATTTCATCAGTTTCTTTATTAGCTTCTTCCAATAGTTTAGTTATCTTTTGCAGCTGTTGATCCTTATCTGATAACTCCTAAATGTCTGGATGAAAGCAAAAAGAAACATTCTAAAAACATGTCAAAATTGCATAATTTAAAAAATTTTTTCAAGATGGCGAATACAAGAAGTTTTCGTGTATTTCACGCGCTTCTAAGGAGTGCAAGAAAACAGCAGGTTCCAACCTGTAAAAGTTGCATAAGCTCATTGTTTAGTGAGGCAATAAGCATAGCATTGGCTTCCAATGAGTTAATATCAACTGTCGTTGGTTGTTGTTGAACTACTACTGCTGATTCTGGTAACGGTTGTACATCTGTTACTGTCCCTGTTGTTTTCATATCACATTTTGGTGCTGTTTCTTCTTTAGCTTCGTCAGGTTTATTTTCTGTAGTTTCTTCTTCTCTTGCCTTTGGCAGCCTTTTCGACTCGATCCAAGTCGCGTATTCGATTTGAAGTAGCGAACATTTAGAATTTAGTTTCTCTATCTGCTGATCGCGGAATCCCAGTTGCTTCTCCAACCTACTTATCTCGCTTTCTGCACTTCCATAGGTTAACTGAAAAATTTAAACAGTTTTACACATCAGTCATAAACTGCTTTGATTTCTTGCAATTTTTCCATGAAGACGATTAAAAGTTACTCTAGTATTGAAGATTATTGTTTATTCTTCTGTTGACTTTACGTTGCGATTGTTCTAAACAATGTTTTGAACGAATGCTTTACTAACAAAAATATAATGTCTATTTAAGTTAAGTCGACATGGTCTTGCTGCTCCAGTTAGACGTTTTTTTTTGTCTATTGCAGAGTCCACTTAGCACAGCTTTGACTTGTTACTTAAATCTTTATTTGTCATGCGAACCTAATGTGCTTTTAACTTTCTATTTGTCACTGAAAGGCGCTTCTTGCCAGATCTGATTTTGATCAGTGAGTTTGTAAAACTTTGTTTGAAGTTAAAATCGATTACCTTTCGCACTTTTTTAAGCTCAGCACAAAGTTTAGCGTTTTCAAGGTCTTTTTTTTCATTGCTTTTTAATAAGTTATTGCACTCTTCGGTTTTTTCTTTTAGCTGATCCTTAAGCAATTCAGTGGTCTGAAAAAAAGATATAATTATGGATGAACGATGTTGATAGCCTTCAAATTTAGAAAGAAAAAAGAATTTATTTAGCAACCAGTCCTACTCTTCAGTTTTTTCTTTGAGCATTTTCAGTTATTGCCATTAACCTAGCAAAAGTTTTAGTTCTATTTTTACATTTGTTAAAATTTCAAGGCTAATCAGAAATCTTACTAGCTGACTGTGAATTTATGAGTTGGCGGATGTGGTCTACTACCAAAAAGGAATTTTTACTCTGCGTTAAGTAATCTGCTGAGATATAATACGATTATACACTATTAAAAAAATTAAAACTATTATAGAGCTAAAAATTTTCTATTGAGAAAAGAAGCATTTAACTAAAACAAAGTGGGTAAGATAAATAAAAATAACTTTGGAAAAGGAATGTTGAAGTTATTACTGAACGGTGAAAAAATTTCTACTCATGTTTGCGGTGTTTGTTTTTGAACTTATAACTCAAATTTGATATCATTTCTGTAGGCTTTAGAAATGGCTTTTGTTTCAAACATTTGGAAACTAAAAGTACTGAAAATCAACAACGAAGGTGATCATCAATTTAATCTTTCAAATCCTCCTGCAGATTAATAGCGTTTTTGAAAATTTTTTTTGTTTTTCAGACTTTTTCAAGAATAACTAACTGTTCGTTAAAAAAGACTATGTTTTTGCACCTTCCCACACAAAATTTATAGAAAGTTTCTGTTCTTTTTTCTAAGCTTTTACGTCCAAATTTTTTGAGAATTGGTAGGCATTTGTTTAATAATTTTGTAAGCATTAGCTAGCAAAGTGTAAATTTTTGCTTGCTAATTTATTTTTGTCTTGGTAAAACATTTGATTGATGAAAAAGTGTAACGGTATCTTTGTTGCAGATTTAAATGAAGAATTTTTTGTGCAGCAGGGCATTTGTAACTTTTATTTTATGTTTAATTTACTCTAAATTGTGTAATTTCTTAGCAAATAACCTGGGTTAGGTAGTCTATTTGATGTTGCAGTTTGATATCGGAATCGTCTTGTGTTGTCAAATAACTTCCGAATAATTGCCTTGCTTGATTTGTGGCGGTAACAAGTTCTAATCGAAGTCGTTCTAATTCTTCTTCTTTGGCTTTTGAATTTTCAAACTCGTATTTTGCTTTTGTTTCCTCAATTTCAATCTGCAGTATCGATAAAGTTGAACATTTGTAAATTTAGGCAAAAACTTATGAAACAGAAGTAATGTTCTCCGAATTACCTGAAGTTCATGAAGTCTTTTGCGAAAATCTTCTATCTCTATATCTTTTTGGGTAACAATTTCCTGAACAAAGTGGCATTAACGTTACAGTTTAAAATAATAATTGTAACTGGTTGAAAAGAGCTAAAGGGAATTTTTTTTTAGAGAATTACAGGTATACGGAATGAAATGCAAGAAAAGTACTTTGAATTGTTCCGATGACTGTTGCTCAGTGCTTTGCAGTTTGTCGATAATAACCTTTTGTTCGGCTAACTAAACAGCATATTTTTTCTTTCAAGAGAATTTTGTTATCTTTAGACTTATCAAGCAAAACAGTGTAAAAATATGTCGCAGAAACCCTTTTTATGGTAATCGAAAATCTTTTGAAAAGTTTTTGGATATGTATACTTCTGTTGTTTTTTTTTCCTGGCTATCGTATGAAATATTTTGTAAATAAAAATACCTGTTTAGCCAGCGATTCATTTTCAGCTAGAATTTTTTCAGTAAATTTGGCATTTTCTACTAGTTCATCTCTCATACTGTTGTATTTGACACCAGTTTCTTCAATAAATTTCGTTGCTGATGATAAAGCCGATGAAAGCTTTTCAACTTCTGCCGTTAATGTATCGTTTTGTCGTGCTATTTCCTTCAAAATCGATAATTATTTAAGGTGTGGGGATACAGTTGAATATCTTCTCAGCATTTTTTTTTTTGGTAACTAATAAATCAATCTGCATTCACCTGTAGTTGTCTTGAAAGTTTTGCAGCTTGTTCACTTCGACGTCTTAATTTCTGCGACTCAGCTTCCATTTTTAAAGCATCTCCAGCTTTGTCTTCTAATCGACGGGTCATGTCATGAATGACTTCTTCCATATGACTTTGCTAAAGTAGTTGGTTTATGTGTTTGATAGTACCAGTACACTGCATTAATCACTGTTACTTGTAGTAATTATTTTTAGCTATCCTAATTGTTTGACATTCATGATGATACTTATAGAAGTTATCTTTGATCATTTAATAAGTAATGAATATTATAGTCTAATATGTGCTTAATAAATACAAATGTTTAGCAGGTTTCAGAAGCCACATGTGCATAGGTGGAAATTTCTATTTCTGTTTGTATTGTACAGCAAATTTGCATGGATTTAAACAATACCTGTTTTATGAGGTCAATTCTTTCTGCCTCAAGCTGTTGAAGCCTTGATTGTAGTATTTCTTTTTCTTGCATTAATGTTGTCTCACGTTCCCTGAAAGTAATTTTGTGAATAAATTGTTGATTTTTTGGAAGATCTATTTTTGATAGTTTGCCTAATTATACAAACTTTTCTTTTTTTTTATATACATTTTTTTTGAAGAACTGTAAATGATATTGATGTTGGGCTTAGAGTAATAAAAAAAGCATTACTTTTCTCTCATTATATTCTTTAAATATATGTTTTCTTCGCGAAGTCCTTCGTTTTCAGCTTGAAGACTTTCAACTAAACCATGGTTGTTGAAGTTTGCCTTTGCTTCGTTCTCTAATTCAGTGATTTTAATCTAAAATTTACAACCAAACTAAGTTTGCAGCACTTTCAATTATTAATAATGTTCAAAAACAATTGCACAAATTTTCTTCTACTAAATTTTAAACGGAATTTTGAAAGGAATATAAAATTTTTTTGGATATCTGATTGAATGTATGGGAAGTTTATGAGTAATCAGATTACAGCTGTTCAGGGGAACAATGTATATCTGACTAATCTGTGATTTCAGATTCGCTATTAGTTATTTGTTGTGAATGCGATACAAAAAGTGTTTTAGCGCGTGATATCAGTTATTTATAACGATGGAAATGATAATATTATATATGTAGTTTATGCAGGGTAGTCTAAACCACAAGGGCACTTTATCCTTAGTACACTTTTATGTTGCTCAATTTTGTGTTAGTGAGTTTTTTTTTTAGAAAATTAAGGGAAACAAATTTTAAATTTAATTGCTAGACTATGGTTACCAAATGTTTACTTTTTGCTGCTGTCAAAAAAAAAAAAAATTGTTCATCGACCAAATTAAATGACAAATTTGAATAGCAAACAGCAGCCACAAATTAAGATTCACATTCAAGAGGGCTAAACTTTGCAAAAAAATTAATCAAATACGAAATAACACAGTTGCTATAATGGACAAAACTGCTGCACTTATATGCTTTAGGACATTAAATGCTAATAAAGGTTATTTCTTTTAGAAATCGCTAACAACTTTTTTTTTTTGATATTTTTAAGCAGAGTTTTTGTAAATTGTTTTTGGTGAAAAGTTTTCGTACTCAACGTCTGACGAGTGATCGGCAATTATAATCTTAGATAAAGCACTGCTTTATCAACAGTGACTATAGTTAACAGGTATAAAATAATGGCGACATTCTGGTGTTCAGTTCGTTGGTTATTATTCGCCAGAATATATTTTTACTTCTTACTCAGTTTATTAATTACAAAAGTTGTTTCAGTTCAAGTTAAGTGATTTTAAAGCACTTTTAATTCAAAAATTAGAATAAGTTTCAATAACAGACCTTCAGTTCACTGTTTTCTTTCCTTAACGCTTCTTCAACATCGGTAGCGTTGGTTGCTTCTGTGATTGCCAGAGCTTTTATTTCTTGAGCACTGGTATGCTCATAATGCATCATCCATTTGAGGGCTTTCAGCAACAGCTCAGTGTTGGTGCTACTTTCATTTGTATCCACATCAAACTAAACAACAAAATAATTGAACTAATAATAATAATAATTTTTTCTGCTATAATCATAGAATATAAGTATTTTTGGGATAAATAACACTTTGTCACCGTTATTCAAATTACCTCTAAAAGCTTTTGATACCATTGTTCCACACTGTCTAAGTCATCAGGTGTATTTGTCAGAAACTCTTTTAGTTGCAGGAAATCGATCGTTCCCATAATGGTCTGTCTCGTTTTCTTTTTTGATGTTTATACGTCTTCAGTCGTAATTTTTAGATGTATCATTTTGCTTAAAAATTCAGACTACACATTGGTATTATGTCTTTAATAAGCCTAGCAAAATAGGTGTGAAAATTTGTAATACTACATACAAAAAATATTATTCAATATGCTTTATAACGACAATAGACGTAATAAATCGAAGGATTAGAGACACTGACATAACATTACAAAAAATTAGGAGCAACGTAAAATTTACCATAAAAAATTTAGTAACAGCTTATTGTTATGACAAATATGCTCAACTTTTATGTATAATATGAAGTCAGTGTTTGATGAACCTATTTTAAATGCAACTATAACAGTAACAGGTCAGATAGACAGGTAAACTTTAAATTACGTAGACTGAAAAGATTGTTTCATCTCTGACGCTTTTTGGAAGTAGAGTAAATGATTTAGTTTTGAAATAGAGATTTTTTAAGAGTTTTTTATTTTTATTATCACTGATACGGTAAGGCGTTTTAATCTCAGAACTATTTAACTGAAGAGAATCATGTTACTACTATTGATACAAGGTGCACGTTCAATGTTCAAATAATACACGTTCTAAGCCTGATATTAGCCATCGTTACATTTTAAGAAAAACTCAAGTAGATTTCAAGAATGAAAGCTTTTTGATTATCTACTTTTTTTTTTTTTAATTTTGCCTTTTTGAAACTGCAATTAATTTTGTTTAAAAAATTTTCAAAGTCAAAGTTTTTATACATATATATCCAGATAAAAAATGACAGATGAGGAGTCATTATAGAAGGGCTGATGAAACACAAGTACTTAAGCACCAAAATTATTAGTTTTTTGGAAATGGGCAGGGCCAAAAACGCTATATCTAAGTAAGTTTTGTTAGCTCTCAAAAGGTTTATGAAATATTACTTGGAGTCTTATTTAAGCACGGAGGAAATGCAAATGACATTGTATTTTAGCACAGTATACTTTAAACTATCATTTATTTACGTACCATTAAAAGGGCTGAATTCATTGAAGAGGATGAGATATTTAAAAAACTTTTGTTTGAGGTTTATTACATTTTCAATGTGAAGCAATGGCCTAAAAATATGGAGCTAGCTTTATTATCGTTAGTAAGGCTATTGTTATCGTCATTTTTACTGTCATTTTTATTATTTTTGTTGGTACTATCATTGTTGTTGCTGTAATTACTATTACTGTTATAAAAAATACTACCAATACTGTTGTTAAAATTATGATTATCAATGCTAGTCTTATTATTATTATTATTATTATTATTATTATTATTATTACTGATTCCGAAAAATCTCAAAATTAATTTATTATTATTGTCTTAATTATTATTATTATTATTATTATTATTATTATTATTAGTGGTAGTAGTAGCAGCAGTATCAATACTGTTAGATGCTTACTGAAAAGAAATAAACCAGAGTTACGGTCATGAATATATATTGTTCGCGTTAATCTTTGTCTGGAATAAAAATTATACAGACTTGAAAAATATTAGCTAATGAAAAGAAAAGAAAAAAAGTGGAATAAAATAAGACAAAACATTAACAAGTTAACAGAGACGCATAAAAACTACAGGTTTTTAATTTCTGCAGTGGAAGAAATTTTCTCCACCACAACCACAGATGAGAGAGATTTAAGGGTTGCATCTGTTTCATATGAGCATCAAGGATAAAAGAACTGATGAAGTAAAACTTTGTAAAGAAATTTTTGAACATGGTGTTGAAATAGTTGAATAATGTAAAAAAAGAAGTCTGCTCTATGAATCAATCTGAAAGCTGCATGCTTTAAATGTATGATCACTATGGTAACCAAATATTACTTTGTTTCGCTGATCCATACCTTTGATCCTAACACTTATGCAGTCACCTCTTTTTTTTTTTTTCAAATAAATAAAAAGGGTCAGTTGTTGAATCTATTAATCAACCACTGGGAACTGTTTTTATACAGGATTTTTTTGCTGCATTACTTTGGATTCATTATTCACAGATATTTTTAGCAACTATTGATATTTTTTTTTAGCATTTTTTTTCTAGCTAAACTTAATTAGACCAATAAAAGCTTTGTTTCACCTTTTCTCTTTCTAAACAGAAATTTACTCTCATAAATCTGAACGTTTCATTACGTAACAATATAACTGGAGCTTGCCTTCCATGGTTACAAGTCAGGAAATTTTGCTGTTTTTGTTTTTACTTTTTATTTTTCATTTTTGGATTGAAGACCAATGAGACGTCTGTAAGCGCTGATTGTTGTTGACCTCGGACAAAAAAAGTTGATTTACTCATTTGCAATACATCTGATTGATGAGTCTGCTCTGTGTGTTGTATCGGTGGTCGGAACGAGGCCACTGATTAGCAACTGATTTCATGCTCGTCAAATTGACTTGTTGCAGCAGAATTGCTTTGGTTAGCAGTTTGCAATTTTTAGGCACAAAACTGAGCTACGGAATCGA